TCTGATCCTTGCCTGAGGGTTCCTTGAAGTTGGGGGCCACATATGTACTGCTTGTCCCCACAGTGCCAGGGCCTCAAGAGACCAAAGGAACAAGTCTCTGAAAACTCCCTGTTCTTGTCCCTCAGTTGTGGTCACCCACTTTCTGGCTGGCTGGGCCCAACCTAACAACCACAGCCCCTTCGTCTGCTGGAGAGGCAGAAGGAAGAGAGCCCTGCTCTGCTTTCTGCGTCAGGCACATACACCAAACTATCAATTTGACTTTTTGTGCCCAGCCAACGTTTTATAGGAAGGCCCTTCCAACTTCTGCTGCGTGGCCAAAGCTCACGTGGAATACTGCAGGGCTCCTGCTCTCTGCTGTGCCACCCAGCTCTCCAGGGGGCCTTGGAAGCATCTGAGCACAGCAAGAGCCCAGACTGCGACCCCCAAACTGGCTGTGCTGTAGAAAGGCTGTCCTTTGCTAACTTACCAGTTTCAGATGACCCCACGGCCTTAGCATTGACCACCAGCAATCCTGTATCACACAGGCCCCCACTTCCGGGGATGAATTCTCCACCTCAGAGAGGAAAAGATTCTGCTCCACTGAGGATGTGGTGCCTGGGATGAAAAAGCCTACGTATGGAGAGGCTCCTGACCGAGCAGAGTGGCCGAGTGAGGCCAGCACCGGCCCTGCTCTTCTAAGTGGAGACAAGGGGCCGTCTTCTAAGCCCTGGTGCAAAATGGGGCACATCTGACCAACACTTTTTAGTTCCTCACACTCTGCTCTTTAGCTATTTCCCAGCGTCAGTCTCGTCTCGTCCACTCAAGGGCAGCACTGGGCCGCCCTTCGAGTTGTTTCCCACGGAGCTCAGGGCAGGAAGGATTGAACAGTTAGTTGGAGCTCAAGAGATGGAATCCCATGCATTTAAATCTACTGCTTCTTTTCCAAAAAGGATTTGAGGAGGCTTTAAAAACCCACATAATATAATCCAACAAAAATAGATGAAAATATCACCCTGAGGGGAAAGCAAGGAGGGAAGAGAAAATGAAGCCAGGGTCAAGGTCATGCATAGAAATGGTAACTTTTGCAAAATTGCAAAAGGTGGTTACAAATTCAGCTGAGTTTTCTAGGGGCTGAAGAAAAGAAAGAACTGTGGTCCATAATGAAATTCAAAGTACACAAAAAATGTAAAAAACCAAAGCCCACTGCCTGCTCGAGAGATGCTCAGCCTTTGCTGGGCACTGTAAGATAATTTCCTGAGAATCAATTCCTGCAAGTGGGATTTCTAAATTAAAGGTTTTATAGATTTTTAAGGCCTCTTATCTATAATGCCAAACTGCTCTCCAGAAAGGTGGTCCTGATTTATGCTTCCCTACATTGGGCGCTATCTTTTTGTGTGTGTGGCAGGGGTGGGGGGTAGAGGAGGGGGTAAGAGTTCTTTGCATATGTGACAGATGTAAATGCAGTGTTTCCATCTGTAAATCATGAAAACAAACTATGCTGAACATTTTCTGTATCCATTACTGATGATATGTATTGGGTAAGCTGCCTGCCTCTATCTTGTACATATTTTCTGCTCAATTATTTCTCTCTCTCTCTCTTTAAACTGATGCTATAGAGAGTTCTACTTCCTATGAAGGACACTGATTCCTTGCCATACATGTTGCTAATATTGTTGGTTGCCTTTGTTTAAGCTTTTTGACATTTAAAAGTTTGTCTTTTTTAGGTAGTAAAATCAAATTTTTCCTTTTCTTTTTCTGAGTTCGTCAGTCAATGAATATTTGTTACAAGTCTACTCTGTGCCTCACACTGACACTTTACTCACACTGAATTTTACTGAGAAAAGAGAGGTTAATTAACCGGCAAGGCTACTCAGCAGTGGGGGGTGGGGACCAGCGCTGGGGCGTTGGTATCAGTGAATGTGGCAAGAAATAAAACAGCAAACGATGCCCTGGGCAAAGATGTAGGAGGGCTCAGGCCTGGTAAGAGGAGGACAGTTGATATTCTCCTTGGCCTGAACCTCTAAGACATCTCCCGAGTCACCTGTGAGTTGTGCGCTAAGGCCCAACCACGTCACACAGTGTCAAGCTTTGCACATTCGTACACACACACACACACACACACACACACACACACACACACAGGGTCTGGCAGGGGGATAGAGAGGTCAGAATGTGACCAAGGGGCCTTTGTTAGAGGAGTCAGAAGAAGATACACATCACAGACACCTGCTGGTGTGTAAGGGGAACAGGGATTAGAAGAAACCCAGGAGTGCCCCTGTATTGGTAAAAGGCCAAGATGGAAAACCCATGGCCACAGGAGAGGCAGGGCCTGCTGTCAGTAGATACGGGGACCAAAGGACAGTGAAGACTCAGCAGCACTCAGGAAAGAGCTGGGTTCTACCTAGCCGACTGGTGTGTCTCAACCGTAGTCCTCCGAGGGCCTCTGGTCACACCCCAGAAACCCAGGCTGGGGAACATTTGCACTGGCTAAGTGGAACCCCTCCCATTGTTCAGGGACAATAAAACAGTCACACCTCCTTTAAGTAAGAAAGTCACTCTTGTGGTGAAGACCTGAATCCCATGGGCAGGAAGGACAAAGACAACCCCGTGTATTTTGTTAAAGTGTAAAAAAACTGAGGAAAACACTTAAAACCCTCCAGACCTTTCCTGTCCCTGTTCTACTCTCTGCAGAAGGAGAGACAGCCCTCGTGGTCCCTAGCCAGGCCTATTTTGTGACATCCCAGCCTCCTTCCTCATTTGCTGGCAGGGCCTTTGCACATGGTGTTCCTTCTGCCAGGATCTTTCCTCTCCAGCCACTTAGTCAGTTCCTGCTCAGTTTCCAGATCTGTTCGAGCACAATGCTCTTAGCTGTCTCTGATCTCCCCACCCAGGCCACATGTCCCTTGGATGGGTCCCCCAGCACTGGGCGCCTCTGCTTCAGAGCACTCACAGGTACTACTTACGTGTATCTACAGGACTGAGTCGGGTGAGTTTCTGCTCAAGAACTATAAGTGCCACAGGACAGGGACTGTAAATGCTTTTACTCAAGATTGTATCTCCAATGCCTGGCAGAATGCGATGGTGTCCAGTCAGCCCCCAGTAAATACTTGTTGAATGAGTGCATCAACAAATGGCCAGACGTGACGTCCTGCTGTGGCAATTCAACCATCTGTTCAATACCATTGGCTGGCTCATCCTGACACTTACCTCAAGAAACAGTGCTCCCACCCAAGGCACACACACATCTTGAGTCTGCAAGCAGAGGCTGGAAGGAAGTCCGTGACACCTTTACCTCGCTCAACTTGGTGCCTCTCCTTCTGGTCCAGTAAACAATGTCGTGCCCCCAACTTCTGTTTGGAAAGGGAACTGCTTTCCTCTTCATTGTTAACAGGAGGCATGAACCTCCAAAATTCTCAAAGGATGAACAGATCTAGACTATGAATACTCAGAGTGTGGTCCCCGGGCCAGCAGCACTGGCATCGCCTGGGAGCCAGCCAGAAATGTAGGTGCTCAGCCCCACCCTGGACCCACTAAATCTGAACCTGCATTTTCATGAGAGCTCCAGGTGATTCTTACGCACGCTTAATATTGAGAGCACCAATTTAAAATTAAATATTAAGCTGGGCACAGTGGCTTGCACCTATAATCCCTGCTACGTGGGAGGCTAAGGCAGGAGGATCACTTGAGCCGAGAGGTTCAAGACCAGCCTGAATAGTATAGTGAAATATCATTCCCCCAAAAATTAAATATTAACTTTTTGAAACCTCAGCTCCAAATAAAATCTTATGCTTAGGCCGGGCGCGGTGGCTCACGCCTGTAATCCTAGCTCTCTGGGAGGCCGAGGCGGGCAGATTGTTTGAGCTCAGGAGTTCGAAACAAGCTGAGCAAGAGCGAGACCCCGTCTCTACTAAAAATAGAAAGAAATTAATTGGACAACTAAAAATATATAGAAAAAAAATTAGCCGGGCATGGTGGCACATGCCTGTAGTCCCAGCTACTCGGGAGGCTGAGGCGGGAGGATCGCTTGAGCCCAGGAGTTTGAGGTTGCTGTGAGCTAGGATGATGCCACGGCACTCTAGCCCAGGCAACACAGTGAGACTCTATCTCAAAAAAAAAAAAAAAAAAAAATCTTATGCTTACACTAAATGGTGAAGAAAATAGGTCAAAGAGCCTGATGATTTCTCCCAGGAGAAAATCTGTGAGTAAATCTTGATATGTTTTTTTCACTCTCAGTAACACGAAAAGCACCAAGAACTCAAATATTAGCTGTATCTGTCCAGGGCCGACCAGGATCTGGTACAATTGATACAAGGGGAATGGGTTTAATGCTTACACAGGACAGCTAAGTGCTTCACCAAGAGAAAACCTGGCTGAGTGAAGGCTGGGAAGGAGCCATTCACATAATTAAAAAAAAAAAAAAATTATCTCACAAATAATCATTATTTCTGAAAAACACCATGATTAGCACTGTAAGTCCTAGTTTTCAACACTCTCTGGAAGTGAATTTTTTCACCTACAAGGCAATACCCACTTACCCTCACTACTGTGCTTCAAGAATCAAGTGAGGCACTTTGTGTACATTACCTGCCAATGCTTCCGACAACTCGTGCAGAGATTACCATCCCCGCTTTGCAGATGAGGAAATTGAGGTTCAAAGACCCTGAGTGATGGAACCAAAGATAACTTTCAAGACTTTCTGACGGTAAAATCCTTTGGATAGGGTTTCAGCCGAGTCATCTGGGCATGTGTACACCTTGGCCTAACCGTACCGGGATCCACTATGCTGAAGGTGAGAAGTAGCTGTCTTACCAGGAAGCACTTATTTTAAAATGTAGCTTTAATAAGGAGTAATTTATATGCCATCGAATTCACACCAAGTAATTTCTAAGATGTTTGGGAACATGAGCATTTACGGGAAGGGTGATGTTCTTTTTCTTCTAAAAGGAAAACCAAAGATGGGGCAAGCCCAGGCGCGCAGGCTGCCCAGGAGCTGCCCAGGGAGCCGGGGCTCACATGCCTACCTTGGATTCCATACAGCCGGTTGAGGCGTGACCGCCGGGCCTCGTCAGTATAGGGGACAGCGAGCCAGGGCATCTCACTGAAGTACTGTTTGAATGACTCCTCTGACCTGCAGAGAGACACATGCGGAGAACAAGCCTCTGGTATCCCCGGCTGCAACACCACCGGATCCTTCCAACCTTTCACCGAGCGCCCAGGGCTGCTCCAGGAGCTGGGGTCTCTCGCTGCCATGCTCTCGGACGCCAGGCTATGGGAGTGTGTTACTCTACCCCTTCCGGTGTCCACCAGGAGCAAATGCCTCCACACAACAGGGGATCCCAAACCAAATGCCCCGCCATTTTAATAGCCCACACGCCTGCATCCTGCCAACTGAACTCATGCCCAACTTTTCATGTGCCAACACAGGCAGGTCTCACTTTTCTAAGGAGCTTAGATGTACACAGCTACAGCATTCCCAGGGAGATTTCTAATTTGTGCGACCAACCTTATACCTATGATTCCACAAGTAAGAAACCATAGAAAAGACAAATGTACTCAAGCAATAGAAAGTAGATCATGGGTGCCCTGAGGCTGGGGTTCGGGGGTGGGGACTGACCGAGAAGGGGCACAAAGGAACCTTCTGAGTGATGGAAATGTTCTGTATCTTGACTAGGATGATGATTACCTGGGTACATGTATCAGTCAAAACTCATTGAACTGCACACCTGACATGTATGTATTTTATTGTACATAAATTATGCTTCAATAAAGTTGATGTTGTTTAAATCCTTATAAAAGTAATCGTGCCACCTGGCACGCCTTCCCGCTGGTACGGGGAGCTTCTAGTGGAGCAGGACCCATAAACCTAGCACAGGACAGGTGGATATCAAAGACACAACAACGTGCAAAATGCCCTCATTGTGCCAGTACCTCAGAGACCCTTAAGAGGCAGAAGTACCTGGAGACTCAGCCTAAACTGGGTTGGAGTTTTGAGATGAAGGAAGCTCACTGATGAGTGAAGCCAGAGAGAGAGGACAAGAAACAGAGGAAACTGAGGCTAAGAGGACCTGCCTTAGTCCAGAAAGAATGTCTGCCCTGCTTGTTCTGTGATTCCTTATCCATGTGCATTCAAATAGCCCCAAAGTCTGTGGCCAGAGCTAACAAAACGATTGCACACCCATCCAAGATAGGGGTCACATGGCTTTCATCTGTGGCCCTTTCCCATCCTCTGCCCTCCACATCTTCTCACCACAAACTAAAATGATGAACCAATCAGAAAACACACCCTAGCCGGGTGCGGTGGTTCACGCCTGTAACCCTAGCACTCTGGGAGACCGAGGCGGGTGGATCATTTGCGCTCAGGAGTTCAAGACCAGCCTGAGCAAGAGCAAGACCCCGTCTCTACTAAAAAAATGGAAAGAAATTAGCTGGACAACTAAAAACATATAGAAAAAATTAGCCGGGCATGGTGGCGCATACCCGTAGTCCCAGCTACTCGGGAGGCTGAGGCAGAAGGATTGCTTGAGCCCAGGAGTTTGAGGTTGCTGTGAGCTAGGCTGACGCCACAGCACTCTAGCCTGGGCAACACAGTGAGGCTCTGTCTCAAAAAAAAAAAAGAAAACACACCCTAATCTCAAATGACCCAGGCCTGAATTGGAATATGCCCAGTATTTATAGCAGGAAGAGGTTTCTCTCGGCTCCCCTTCAGACAATTAAATGAGGAAATGTATCTGCCCTTCTGCCAATACTCCCAGATATGTTTTCCTCCATCCCTATCTCCCAGCCCTACAATGAGGAAGTAAGAAATGCAAGACCCGAAAAACATGGATGTCAGCCACCTACAGAAATGGGGAGTGGCCCTGCCACTTCGCCGCATGCCTTACCTGTCTGCACTAACAAAGATGATCTCAAAGTTCTGGCCTGCCTCCTTGATCTTCCGGTAGGATTCCACCAGGACCCGGGTGAGGCTTCGGCAGGGTGGACACTGGAAGGCAAGAGCAGGCCCCTGCTGTGTGACGTGCCTTCTCCATTCCCCAGCTGCTCACCATTAGAGGCCAGGCAAGCTAGACCCATGGAGGACTGGGATGGCAAAGCCCAGTTTATAAAAGAGGCCGAAATGAACTTGCCTCTCCGAATGGTGAGCACCCAGCACAGGCGCCTCCCCACCCCGACACAGCATGCCAGCAGGTAGCCATTAAATGAACCCCCTGAGGGACCACTAGAAGTCTCACCCGAATGGAATATCGTTATAGACCCATCAAAAGAAATTTTCTTGATACTATTATCATTGTAAATATAAGCACTATTGCATGCCAGTATTGCATGAGGCACAGGAGAAGGCCAGAAGGCCAGGAAATTCCTGCCTGGGCAGTCTCACCCCCAGAAGCCAACCACAGCTTGGCTTGGTGGTGACATCACTGCTTCCTTCGTCTAGACTAAAGAGGGACCAAACACTCACCCAATGTGCAGAGAAATAGACTCCCACGTGAGACCCCTCCAGGCTGCTGCTCTCCAGGGACTGCCCGTTATTTCTAAGCAATGGCCCTGCAATGACTTCCCTGAAGGGTTTAGGTCCCCAAGGGAATTCCAGACCTGAAACAGGCAACAGATGGTGAGAATGTTAAGGCTCTTTATTAAGGCCTGGGACCCAGGAGGTCTCAGAGCTGTAGGCACGACAACTTTATCATCAAACAGTGTTTGTTAACAAATCCACAGGATCCGTAGCTAACACAGGACTAAAAGGTGAACTCATCCACCACAGAGCCCTCCTTACCCTCAAGGCAATGGTTCCCAAACCTGGGTAAGCATAAGGTCCATCTCCTAGGACTCTGGAAAAGTACCAATGCCCAGGTCATACCCCGAGTCTCGGGATCCAGGGACGGGGCGAAAAGGTACGTTCAAAACAAAACAGGCTCCGCAGGTAACTCTGGTGATGGTCAAGGTTTGAGAATCATTGCCTCAGGAATCAACCCTGTGTTAATTTGGTCCCAACCCTAGAATCTCAGTGGTTCTCAACTGCATTTTAGAATCAACTGGGCAAATTTAAAACATGATGCTCCTGGACCCCCAACCCCAAAGATTCCAAGTCAATTGGTCTGGATTGGGGCTCTAGGAATCAAATGAGAATTTAAGTCTAATAAAAAGAAAGAGCAAAACCCGCCCCCCATCCAGATGGTCAACATTCTGATGACACATAAGCACCAGGCAGGAAGAGGAAGCAATATCCTCCCAGCCCAACTGAACAGTGTTTTCTCACAGGGTGGTCCATGGACCACTGCCTCAAAATCACATGGGGGGAGGGGTGGGAGGGAGAAGCACAGACTGGTTAAAAATGCAGGTGGCCAAGCCCACCCTGTAACAAAAGAATCAAAATTCCCTGGGAGTGGCGCCAGGGAACCTGCATTGTTAACAATCTTCAGAGTTAACAATCTTCAGAGTAGAGTGTGTGTGTGTGTGTGTTTAAATTTGAGAAGGTACAGACTTGGTTCCACCATGCCCTGGTTCTTACTGAGGGCAATTCTTTGGAGCAGGTGAAATTTTTACTGGGAAAATTTGTGAGCAGGGCTGAATCCTCTCATTGGATCAATAAGTGAGGGAGGGGAGAGAGTATGACCTTTTATCACTCCAGTGCAAGGGGGAAAGAAGCCATCCTTGGACAGCCACCCAGCAGTGGTGAGAACAGCTTACCTGAGGCACGGCCGGCAGCCAGCAAGCCAAGGCCAAGGCCTGCAGGGCTCAGGCAGCACCAAGAAATGAGGTGCACTCATCACCTGAGCCAGGAGAGCAACACCGAGACTGCAACTTTGCAATGGCAGTATTTTAAAAAAGAAAAAAACCCACTTAGCCTGCCTCTAATTGTTAAGGGGGCAGCTGCTGTTGAAACAGCACTGGAACTCAGTATCTGGGCTCTAGCTGCCTTTCCAACAGTGTCCTCGGCCCTCCAAGCTGAACTGCCTTTTTCAGATTCCATCTCCTCTGGCCCATGAATTAAAACCCCCAGAAGGGACATTCTGATCCCTTTAAAAATCTTAACCATGATCTAGAGAATACTGTAATTTCACCAAGACAATGTTCTCTGGTCTCATAAACCCACTTTTATGTATTTCATTAGTACTCTTGCCAGCAGCGGGGAGGAGATTAGGGAAGGGGGACAGAGGAGGGAGCTGGGTGATAAGAGTGCAGGATGGACACTCCGGGGTGTTACCTTCTGGGTCATCTCGGATCACCAGCAGCCCATTCCTGCACACGACCTTCCCGGTGGTGGCGTCTAGGAATATTAGTGACGGAATGTTGGAAATTCGGTATTTGTTCCAAAGTTTAAGCTGCAAGAAGAAAAGTAAAAGAAGGTGGTTAAATCCCCACCAGATTAATTGCAGAGTTCTTTTGAGCCCCTCAGGCTTGGGGTCGGGTGTGTAGATGGATGGGCAAGCACCGAAGTACAGATAAATGAATAACTGATCCACAGCTGGGCGGCTGTGCAGGAGGGGCAAGTTAACTAACTACAGCCCCACTGGCTCCCGTGGTAACAGCGCAGGGGACCAGGCTTGAGCTGCAACAGCGGCTGGTGGAGAACCATGCTTATTCTAGGGCAGCGCTTCTCTCCTAACCTCTCCCATGGGTGCTTTCTCTAAAGAGCATGAAGATGAGGATGGATTATGCATCTTTAGAACACAATCAGATCTCCGCCAGGTAGTTAAGGAAGGAAGGGAAGCTTTTCATTAGAGCCTCTCCACCCTATCAGCAGGAAGTGGCAGGGTTTCCAATAGAGGACCACATAGTTAAAATCTGCACCCTCGCTGCTTCACCAGGGCCCCGCACTTGGAATATCACAGTTGTTATTTCGTGTGCCATTCAGCTTTCAAAACACTAGGGAAGCAGTATCTCGAGCCAGCCCCAACCCTCAGCTCTCAGTGCCACTTAAAATAATCTTCTGTCTATTGGCAGATTCTTGAGGTTGGCTGTACAAACTGTCAGAGGTCTGGGGTCTGAGAGGGATGAAGCAGAGACAACGTGAATGCAAACAGCCCAGGGCGAAAAGCCAAGTACGCACAGGCTCCTCTGTGTGCTCACTGCCACCAGGGTGGACACTGCTGAGATGGGCCACCAAACGCTCTTGAACTTCACCAACAAGCCCAGAAAGCAACAGAATTAAATGAAGTGTCAAGCTAGCAACGTGCTCCAGAAAAGAAACTGCGGAAGGGTCCACTGGTTAGACCATTTAGTTGTGAGCCTCCTTTCTGGGGGTTCTGGGGGCCCAGACAGGAGGGGCTGGCCACTTGGGCTCCAGTAGAATAGGGCAGCGGTCCCCAACCTTTTTGGCACCAGGAACTGATTTCATGGAAGACAATTTTTCCATGGGGAAGAGGGGTGGGAGGTGGGTGGCAGAGCTCTGTGGCCTGGTCCCTAGCAGGCTACAGACCAGTACCAGTTGGCGACCCCGGGGTTGGGGACTGTAGGAATAGGGCATGCGGAAGAGGCATGTGTGGCTATGCTTATTCTTGTTTTTAATCCAATCCCAAGCAGTGAGGGAGGAGGGCAGCATGTCTGCCAAGAAACCCTAGGCTCCGTCTGTGGAGACCTGCGTCTCGGCAGGAAGGGCTGTGGGACCCCACCTCAAACTGGGTGGGCCCTGTCTCAGTGCTGCATGCTTTTCCCAGCCCCACGTCTCCAGCGGGCTCACAAAGCCAGCCTGGGACCTCAGAACAGGAGCGAGTATGCACACACGGTGTTCAATGACCAGTACTGCGCCACTGCACAGAAACTGGACACGGAATTCAGATCAAACATTCTTAAGAGGTTCAACAACAGAACAAGACCATCCTACCACTGGGATCGGCTTCATAAGTCTGCTGTGCAAGGATGCAGCCAGGGTAATTTAAAAAAAAGAAGAAGATTAAAATTATTGGATTTTTCTGATTTAAAAAGTAATTCTTGGGGGGGAAAATCATTGGAAAAAAAATGGGGAAACATAGCAAACCACAAAAATTGAGATAAAAATCACCCATGACTCACCACTTAGGAAAACTTAGACTTTTTTATATTTCCACAGTGGCAAATAAGACAGCCCATTTCCTAGCACCCCCACCAACATTATCACTGACATTAATTTTTCCAATTTGTTGGAAAAGAAAGGATACATCTCTTTTATTTTCTACTTGTTGATGTTTAAGAGATATACTGCTGTAAAAACACTATTTCTCCCCACTGTGTTTTACAACTGGTAAGTACTGAAATTCATCTAACAGATATTAACTGAGCACCTACTATGTGCCAGCCTTGTTTTAAGCACAACAGATATAGGAAAGAATAAGGCTGATGAGGTCGCTGCCCTCATGGAGCGTCTATTCTAGTGGGGGAGTCAGACAATACATAAAAATATAAATAGAAAAATAATTTCAGACATATAAGTAATAGAAAACATAGCAGGGTAAGAGTAAAGGTATGGCTGGGAAGGTGGTGTACATTACAGAGAGAGCGCTCTGAGAGAGCGTCTCTGGAGAGATGGCATTTGAGCACAGACCTCAATAATGAAAGGGAGCAAGCCACATGCATACTGGGGGAGGCCACCTGAGGCCCAGGGGACCTGTGTAGAGGCCAGGAACTGACTGCGATGGCTGGAGTGGATGGAGCCAGAGAGGGCCAGGAAGGTCAGAGGGCATTCTTGGACCAGCTCTTTAAGACCCTGTAGACCAGGGTAAAAACAATGGAGTTTTACTCTAAGTGTAATAGGAAGCTGCCACGGGTTACAGGAGGAGTGGGATGACCTGACTTGCAGTTGAAATAGTCACTTTGGCTTCTGTGAAGTAACAGACTGCAGGGAGGACAAGGGGAAGGCAGGAGGCCAATTGGAGAGGCTACTGCAAACAGCCCAGGCAGGAGCTGAGTGTGGTGAGCAGGACTGGGCTGTAGCAGAGCAAAGACATGGTTGATTTTGAAGACAGAGTTAGTGGGTGAGGTTGGCAGATTGAATGTAGGGAGTGGTGAGGAGAAAGATCAAGGATGTACCTGGTTCAGGGGCTTGAGCAAGTGTGTCAAGGGGGCATCCCATTAACCAAGATGAGAACCAGTGGAGGAGGGGCAAGTTTGTGAGGGAAAAGTCCAGAGGCCAATCTCGGGGTACCTACCAGACCTGCAAGTGGAGATGTCAAGTCGGCACTTGGATTTGCACATCTAGACTCTGGGGAGAGGGGGCTTGAGATATAAACCAGGGGTCATCAGTGACTAGACGATGTCAGAGGTCATGGGCCTGGATGAGATCATCCAAGGAAAGGACAAGGCTACAGAAGCGGTCCCAGGACACAGCCAGGGACCACAGCTGCAGGAGGCCAAGTGACGGAAGAGGGGAATAAAGACACTTCAGCATCACTCTCGTGTCCCAAAGGCCAGGTAAAGAAAGTGCCTTGGAATGGAGCGGGCGACTGTGTCAGATGCTGCTGAGAGGCCGAGGAAGATGAGGACAGATAACTGACCAGCAGTGTGCCACACAAGGTCCCATATGACCTTGATGGGGTAGGGGCATCAGGGAAGTGGTGAGGCTGAGAGACAGACTGGAGTGGGGGAGACAGGAGCGGGCACTGCCTGCCCCCCACACGCCCACATGCCCCTGACCCCGACCGATCCCAGTCCTCCTGCCAACACAGGACATACTAAGAGGATAATAAAAAGAAGAAAGGTTATAAAAAGAGAGAGAGAAAATGGCATATAAGAGGCTGAGGTACCAACTGTAAACAATTCTCTTTCAGTTTTGCCGCAAAGGGAGCAGAGACAGGGAGTTGCAGCTGGAAAAACATGTGATGTGATCAGGAGGAGGATATTTTAGAGACACTCTAACATATGCTGATTGCGACAATCCAGAAGAGAGGGAAAAAACCCGATGAGAGGGAGAATTGCAAGAACAAAGTCCTTGAATAGGCAAAAGGGAGAGATCTAGTTTACAAATGGAAAGGTGGAGCTGTAAGAACAGCTGACTTTTAAATATAGTTGTCCCTGGGTATCTGTGGGCAACCAGTTCCAGGACCCCCACGAATGCTCGAGTCCCTGACAAAACGACGGTGGTATTTCCATGCAACCTGTGTACATTCTCCTGTCTACTTTCAATCATCTCTAGATTACTTGTAACACCTAATACAATGCATTAGTTGTTATCTATGCATATATATAAATATATAGTTGTTTACTGTAATGTTTAGGGAACAATGACAAGAAAAAAGTCTGTACCTGTTCAGCACAGATGCAATTTTTCCCCCAAATATTTTCGATATGCAGTTGGTTGAATCCACAGATGTGGAACCCATGGATATGGAGGGTCGACTGCATATATTCTTATTTCAAAGTAGTTTTTTAGTCCAAATAGAAACCCATCTATTTGCAAGTAAAGACAACTCTACCTTCTCTTTGCAATGGTTATAACATTTACAGTTGACCCTTAAACAATGTGGAGTCAGGGGTGTCGACCCCCTGTGCAATCAAAAATCCGTATATGACTTTTGACTCCCTCAAAACTTAACTACTGTTGACCAGAAGCCTTAATGATAACACAAACAATTAACACGTATTTTGTATGTTATGTGTATTATATTCATATAACTTCAGTTATATGTATATAATGTTATACATATATATAAATACATACATATATAAAAACATACACATATAGGTATATATGTATACACATAAAAAGTTATATGTATATAACTAGGTATATGTTATAGTTATATGTATATAACTATTATATACATATAACTTTTTTTTTTTTTTTGAGAAAGAATTTCACTATGTCACCCCAGGTAGAGTGCATTATAGCTCACTAAAAACTCAAACTCCTGGGCTCAAGCAATCCTCCTGCCTCAGCCTCCCGAGTAGCTGGGACTACAGGTGCATGCCACCATGCCCAGCTAATTTTTCTATTTTTTGTAGAGACTGGGTCTCACTCTCAGACTGGTCTCAAACTCCTGGCCTCAAGTGATCCTCCCGCCTTGACCTCACGCATAGTGCTAGAATTACAGGTGTGAGTCACCCACCACATCCAGCCTATACACTGTATTCTTATAATAAAGTAAGCCAGAGAAAAGAAAATCAAGAAAATCATAAAGAAGAAAAATATGTGGACCCACACAGTTCAAATCCGTGTTGTTCAACGGTCAACTGTATTTCCTTTTCTTATAGAACTATATGGCTAGAACTTCCAGAACAATATTAATTAGCAAGCATTCTTATCTTCTATCTGATATAATGGATATATCTGTAACATCTTATTATCAAATACAGTATTAGCCATTGATTTGAGACAGATTAAATTCTTTAATATGTTAAGAAAAAAATA